TCCTTCCTTCCTTCCTTCCTTCCTTCCTTCCTTCTCCCCTCCCTCCCTCCCTTTTTCTCTCCTTCCCTCCCTCTCTCTCTCTCTCTCTCTCTCTCTCTCTCTCTCTCTCTTTCTTCCTTTCTTTCTTCCTTTCTTTTTTCTTTCTCGATTGTATGTAGCCCACACTGGCCTTGGATTTGTGCCAGGGTTCAGCCTGTGTCAGTCCCACAATACAGGAGCCATCTATTCTGGGCTGATGTCTTTGGGACTGTAATCGGAGCCATCCAAACAGCCCCGGGTCCATCCCTAAGTGGGAGAGTGTGGATAGGGAAACTACTAGCTACCCTGAGGCATTAAGGACAGACAGACACATCTTGTCATCCCAGGAGGGCTCTCAGTCCATGCTGGAGACTGCAGTCCACCGTTTATTCAAGCATCCTCTTAAATAGCTTTCTAACAGTGGGGGTAATATCAGAAGACACTATTATCATTTATAAAGCTGATATCACATATTTCCTGTAATCCTAGAGGCACCCATATAACTGCACACCCTCTCTAGCCTCTCACCAATTGCTAGGCATGTATACAAGTCCTCAGAATAGGTGTGGGCCCACCCAGGGCCTAAGTCTATTGTTATGCAAACAAGGAGACATTCTCCATTGAGGCCAAGTCACCCGGTGGTAATTAGCTGGCATCTGAAAGACAATGGGAGATTCAGGCTCCTTGAATATAGCTGAGGTTTGCACCCCAAAATATCATAATCGATCTTTTTGCCCCCCACCCACAGATTTGCAGTGTAGCTAAAGTTTACCTTGAATTTCTGATCCTCCTGGGATTATGGGTGTGTGCCTCGGTTCCCAGCTGTAGTTTTACAATTTTAAACTCATTCTATAGTTGATCTATTTCCTGTTTGTCTTCCATGATAGTAGATTTATTATTCCAAATACTAGAGAAAACTTGCTATTCTTATTCAGTTACAAACTTTAATTTATTTTATTTTGCTTTTTATATATTGCATATATGTGAGTATTTTGCCAGCATATATGTACATGTAGCATATGTATGTACCTGGTAGTGTCCATGGAAGTCAGAAGAAGGTATCAGATTTCCGGGAACTGAAATTTCCAGTAGTTGAGAGCCACCACATGGGTGCTCTTAACCGCTAAGCAGTCTCTCCAGTTCCTACTTATTATTTTTTTCCTTAGATTTACTTCTTTCTTTTATTTATTTATTTGTGTGTACATGGATAGTTAGCTATTTCTATACATGTGCATGTGTGTGCAGGTGCCCACAGAGATTGGAAGGGGGCATTGGATGTCCTGGTAGTCTAAGAGGCAGTTGCCAGCTATTTGACATGGGTGCTGGGATCCAAACTCAGGTCTCTGGGAGAACAAGTGCTCTTAACCTCTGAGCATCTCTCCAGCCCCTAATGTACTTATTATTAGTGTGTAGGCAGGACTTTATGTGTTTATTTTGAGATAGATTAGCCTCCTCCCAAATCCAGAATTGTCTTACCTCAGCCTCCTAGGTACTGGGACTAAGTACATGTCAGCATGACTGTCTCGGACTTTACAAGGTTAAATCCTGGTTTTTGTCATCAACCCCCTGTTGCTGGGTTTTCTCTTGTCCTGCCTAGGTCCCCCCCACTGCTTCAGCCCCCAATGAACACACAGAGACTTATATTAATTATGGAACTATTGGCCAATGGTTTGGGCTTCTTATTGGCTAGCTCTGTCTTAATTATTAACCCATTTCTATAAATCTGTTATTCCTTTGGTGGGCTAGATGGAATCTGTTCTGACCAACCCCTCTGCCTACCTTTCCCAGAATTCTCCTCATCTCCTAGTCCCTCCTATCTTCTGCCTCCTTGGCCAAACAGTGTTTTAATCATCAATCAATAAGAAACATATACAGAAGGACATCCCCCATCAACACCCCCCCACACACACACACACACACACTCCACAAGACCTTCCCTTCAGTCAAGTTCTATGGGAGTCTAAATTTGGGCCTTAATGGCAAATTGTTTCTGAAGATTTCCCTGTGTAGAACAATATTTAAAGCCTTCACAAGGACTGTAGAGATTACTCAGCAGTTAATACAGTGTGCTGTTCTTGCAGAGGACAGGAGTTCTGATGCCCTCTTCTGGACTCTGTGAGTACCTGCACTCATGTGCACATTCCAACAGACACATGTATGTATACATAATTAGCATACAGTTAGTATATATAATTAACGACACAGAATTTTGGGGGGTTTTGTTTTGATTTTTAGTTTTTGTTGTTGTTTTTCAAGACAGGGTTTCTCTGTGTAGTCCTAGCTGTCCTGAAACTAGCTCTTGTAGACTTGTAGACCAGGCTGGCCTTGAACTCACAGAGATCCACCTGCTTCTGCTTTCCAAGATCTGGGATTAAAGGCATGTGCCGCCACCACCTGGCTTGATACAAAATTTTAAAAAGAGGCTCTGATTCTTTTCAAAGACCTGGTTATGCTGTGCATCTCTAGTGCTCCGGCCTGAACTCTCCTCAATGTCCTCATGCTATTTCCCCTGTATCTGTTCATGGCATTAATAATTCTAATAAACGCTTTAGACGCCAGTAACAAAAAATATAATCTTTTTTTTTTAAAGATTTTATGTATTTATTATGTATACAGTCTTCTGCCTGCATGCCAGCAGAGGGCACCAGATCTCATTCAAGGTGGTTGTGAGCCACCATGTGGTTGCTGGGAATTGAACTCAGGACCTCTGGAAGAACAGTCAGTGCTCCTAACCACTGAGCCATCTCGCTAGCCCCAAAATATAATCTTTTAAAGCCTCAATAACAGTGTTAGTCAGACGGCTAGAATGCATCAGGCATTTGCTTTCCTGGGCCTGATGCCCTGAGCTGGATCCCCCAAGCCTACAGCGAAAGAAAACCAACTCCTTAAAATCATCCTCTGAACTTCCACACAGCTGTTACGAACACGCACCCACGTTCTCTCTTCTCTCTCCCTCTCACCCACACACCCCCCCCCACCCCAACACCCCCCCCCCCCCCCCCCCCCCCACCCCCCCCGCGGGGGGGGGGGGGGGGGCACACACAAATAAAGATGTCTAAAGCCACTTACAGCAAGCACCATGGCATGGTGGCACACCATGTATTCTCAGGTGTGAGGTGTGGGAAGGTTGCTGTAAAAACCAGAAAAATAAATAACAAAGCCAGGTGTGGTGGGTCCTACCTAGAATCTCAGTACTCAGGGATGGAAACAAGAGTTCAAGGCCAACCTTGCCTACCCAAAATCCTGTCTCAAAAAAGAGAAAGAAAAAGGAGTGTTTTGCTTTTATTTATTTATTTTTTTTAACTGCAGCTGTGTCCAGCTGACAGTTTTGTCTTTGGTTTGTACAGCTGTGGCCCTCTCCATTGCCAGGGCCTGCAAATCAGGGAGAGCCCTGTCACCACCTGGGGCTGTGTACTGAGAAAGTGCCAGCAGTGCCCCTCAGGGAGGCAGGTAGGCTCTGCTGCTTAAGCAGCAAAAGAGCTCACTGCACTGACTTTGGCCAGGGCCTTCATCTCTGGGACTGCTCCTACTCACAACCTTAGATGGTGCTTTCACTGGACCTATTTCTGCATTGCATTTTCTCGACTGTCGCCTCGGTGTCTGAAACTATAATGAATGATTCGTGGTTTGGTTTGGTTTGAGTTTTGGTTCCTGACAGAGGGTCTCCATGGAAGCCCAGATGGGTCAACAGCTCAGTATGTAACTCAACACTGGGATTATAGGTGCATTCCACCATGCCTGGTGTACCTCGTGGACTCCAGAGTCAAGAGGACAGGCTTTGTTCATTATTCAAGATGTTGGTCACCTTTATATCCAATTATGTGGCCATAATTACTTAAGTAAAGTGTACTCCTATTTTGTAATAAATAAGGTTATCATCACAGCTAGGCAGGTTATCACAGCCTGTAATCCCTGTCCCAGGAATCGGAGGCAGGAAAGCCACGATTTCAGGGCTATGAAAAAATTCTCTGGCCAGGTATGGTGGCTTTTCATTTAATTCCAGCCCTTGGAGGCTGAGGCAAGAGGGTTGTTGCCAGGTCCAATCCAGCTTGGGCTACAGAATGAGACCCTGTCTGAAAAAGGAAGAAGAAATGGAGGAAGGAGGAAGGGAGGGAGGGAGGGAGGGAGGGAGGGAGGCAGGCAGGCAGGCAGGCAGGCAGGCAGGCAGGGAGGAAGGGAGGGAGGGAGGGAGGCAGGCAGGCAGGCAGGCAGGCAGGCAGGCAGGCTGGTTCTCTACGGACAACCCTTGTCCGTGTCACTTGGCCTCTCATCCCAGCATCCTCTCTGGTGAAACGAGATGGGGTGAGGATGTTTCCTGTCTTTCCCTAGTATCCTTGAGCAGAGTCGAGGCTGCCTCCACCTCTGTAACCAGTCACCGCCCATGCAAGGAACCCACCTCCAAGATTTTGAGGGGTTTGTATGCCTGTTTTTGAGATAGGGTATCACTATATAACTCTGGCTGGCCTGGGACTTACTATGTAGACCAGGCTGGCCTCATACTAACTGAGATCCACCTGCCTCTGCCTCCCAAGTGCTAGAGTTAGAGGCATGAGCCACTCACTGTAGCCAGGAATTCTTCAATGTTTAAAAGAACATGAACCATAGCTTCCAAAAGCAGACAGGGGTTCTGCTCAGAAAGGTGTCGTGTAAGCAGCATATACCCTCAGAAGGTGTTTAATAAATGTTAAGCAAAAATGCACTCCACCTTTCCTATTCCACTCTTTCAGTGTGTGTCTTTAATTGTATGCTCCAGCAGGGGATTTGCTTAATTTACTTCAAGTGGACTGCACTTCCACAATTATATGGTTGACTTCTACATTTAATTATTTTAGTGCCCAAAGTACTATATCAGAGAAATAAACAGATTGACAAGTCACCTTTTGTATTTATGTGTGTGTATTGTTGTTATGTCCTGTGTCAAGAATGATTTTTAAGCCTTAGAACCAAAGCTCTTTCTTTCCGTCAGCTTTTGCTTTTTCCATTTTCCAGTCAAAATATGCATGAAGCCAGAAGAATTGGTTTTTGAATTTTAAAAATTTGCTTATTTGTTGTTACTGTGCATGTGTATGTACATGACTTGTAGCACATACATGTGCTACAGTGTGGATGGAGGTCAGAGCACAACTGTGGTGAGTCAGTTCTCACCTTCTATCTTTGTGTCAGTCCTGAGGATTGAAGTCAGGTCCCCAGGCTCATACAGCAAGCACCTTTTCTTTCTGAAGCCATCTTACCAGCATTATTATTATTATTATTATTATTATTATTATTATTATTATTATTTATGCTCTTACCAGATGCCATGTGGTGCATCTCTACTATAATCCCAGACAACACTTGGGAGAGTGTGACAGAAGAGTCGCATGAACCTAGGAATTCTAGGCCAGCAATGCTAACTCTAAAAAAATTAATAAAACACAGTCATCCAAAATAAATGTCTCACGAAGTAAATGCGTTCAATTGGGATAGTCAGTGTAGTGATCTGGGAAGTGTTTCTCAGGCTTCAAACATATTAGTGTGTGTGTGTGTGTGTGTGTGTGTGTGTGTGTGTGTGTGTGTGTATGATAGAGAGGGAAGTGGGGGGGAGGCTGGAGTGCTGGGATCACAGCTGTGGGATCAAGTCTAGTGGCATCTGCTCTTTTCTTTTCTTTTCTTTCTTTTCTAAGATAGGCTCTCACTGTGTAGCCCTATAGCCAGACTACAAGATTAAATGCCCTATTAGCTACCATCAAATATTCAGTTGGACCTGGTTCAGTAAAGTTTACAGAAGGGCTACGGGTGTAGTTCAGTTGAAAGAACAGTTGCCTAGCACATATGAATCCCTGGGTTCAATAAAGGAGGCAGGTGGCATATAGGCCTGTAATCCCTGCACTCAGAAGGTAAAGACAGGGAAGTCAGAAGCTGAAGGGTTATAAATAGCTACACAGTGACTTGGTGGCCAGCCTAGACTACATGAGACTCTGTCTCAAAAGTAAAATAAAGTTCACAAAATATCCTACAACACAAATATATTCCACAGCATACCTGTTTCTTTAAGATTTATTTATTTATTTATTTATTTATTTATTTATTTATTTATTATGTGTATAGTGTTTTGCCTGCATGTATAACTGCAGGCCAGAAGAGGGCACCAGATCTCATTACAGATGATTGTGAGCCACCATGTGGTTGCTGGGAATTGAACTCAGGACCTTTGGAAGAGCAGGCAGTGCTCTTAACTGCTGAGCCATCTCTCCAGCCCCCAACATAACTGTTTCTTTTAAAATGAGGATGCCATTGGGCACAGTGTCAAGAGGCAAGAGTACTAGGATAAGTTCAAGGCCATCCTTGGGTACATAGCAAGTTTCAGTGGCAGTTTTGGTTAGGGATTCTACTGCTTTGATGACCGAAAACAACTTGGAGAGGAAAGGGTTTATTTCTTACTACTCCTGTCACTGAGGGAAGTCAGGGCAGGAACTGATGGCAGAAGCTATGAAAGAATGCTGTTTGTTGGCTCGATCACGTCAGCTTCGTCTACCACTCAAACCGTCTGCTCTTGGGCAGTACCACCACTGAGCCCACCCATATCCATTATTAATTAAGACAATGTCCCACAGAGGTATCTAGATGGAGGTATCTTCTCAACTGAGGGTCCTCTCCCCAGACAATACAAGCTTGTGTCAAGTTGACAGAAAACTATCTCGAACACAAGGATGCAAAACAAGAGTTTGTCTCCAAAGGAAAAAAGAAAAACAGACAAGGATCAGAAAATTACGATACTAAATGTTGTTCCAAAATTGAGCATGATGGCACATGCCTGTAATTCCAGCAATGGGGAAGCAAAGACAAGAGGATCTTTCCAAGTTCAAAGCCAGCCAGAGACCACTTAGTAATTAATAAAATGATTTTTAAAGATGTTTCTAGTTAACTTTCCTAGTGAGATCGCAGTATTATGATTATGTGAAAGAATGTTCTTTGGAGACAGGGTGAAGCCCAATGCTACCAAGGATGTGCCTAAGCCAAGTCCTAATGGTGATTATTAAATATTTAAGAATTTTGTGATCCCGATGGGCGTTGGTGGTGCTCACCCTTAATCCCAGCACTTGGGAGGCAGAGGTAGGCAGATCTCTGTGAGTTCAAGGCAAGCCTGGTCTACAGAGTGAGTTCCAGGATACCAAAGCAATACAGAGAAACCCTGTCTGGAAAAAAAAAATTTGTGATTTCCATGCCCCATGGCAACATGAAATCAGCCCTGAGGGATGGATTGGAGAGATGACTCAGCAGTTAAGAGCATGGCCTGCTCTTCCGGAGGTCCTGAGTTCAATTCCCAGCAATCACATGGTGGCTCACAACCATCCATTATGAGATCTGGTGTCCTCTTCTGGTGTGCAGATATACATGGAAGCAGAATGTTGTATATTAAATAAATAAATAAATAAATAAATAAATAAATAAATAAAATCTTTTTTAAAAATCCTATTAAAAAAATTTTAAAAAAGAAAGAAATCAGCCATGATAGGCATATTATACCACGGAAATCTTCAAATGCTAGATGGAAAGCTAATTTACAAGCATACTACTGCCTGCAGCTAGCTTCTCTCTCTCTCTCTCTCTCTCTCTCTCTCTCTCTCTCTCTCTCTTTTCCTTTTCCTCCTTCTACTACTACTACTACTTCCTCCCCCCCTCATCTTATATTAACCAGTTTAGCCTTGAACTCCTGATCCTCCTGCTTCCAACTCCTAATTGCTAGAATGCTGGGATTACAGGCATGCCGTACCACACACAGCACTGTAGTTTTGAAATACTTCATAATTAAACTTGGAAGAAAAAGAAATACAAATCCTTGGCCTGTTTTTCAGAGCTGTCCTGGGTTCCCTGACACCTAACTCTGCAAGCTGCGCCCTTCTCAACTGTGTTCCCTCTCTGCACACTCGGCCTGCTGCTCTCTTTCCCTACAATTCTGATACTCCTGACCCTGCATCTGTTCATCCAGCCCACTCTGCAAGGCTTTCTGGAGTCTCCATCCTGCACCTCTAGCCCCACACTACTGCCTTGGTATTGCTGCATTTCATTTCTCTTTAATTAGCTTCTGACTGTGAGAAGAATCATTCTGCTCTCACCTGTAGTGGGCGCTCCTTGAGTTCTTTGAAATCCTGCATAATTCCTGTAGACATACATCCACATGCTACATTGCCAGCCTAGAATCTAAAACATGGACCTGTCCTATTTAGATCCAGGGGGATTGCAGATAAAGAAAATGGGGGCACACTTTACCTACTAAGTATCCTCAGGATCTGAGTGTAGCTGCTGTTTATGTTACTGCATACCAACCAGAACCGAGCTAATCTGATTAGGTGGAATGCCATAGGTGGCAGCAGCTGAGGCCTTGCAGGGAGGCTAAATAGGCTGAGCTGTAAGTGACTTTCACCACCCAGTAATCCGTGTTCTCTCATGCAGCCCCCCAGCCCTCCCCCAGGGAACTGATATACCCTCACTTCAAGCTGAGAACAGTTGAGGGGCTTCCCTCAAATCACAAAGCTACAATAGAAACTTGAGGCTGGCTGTGCACTCAGCAATTGGCAAGAGACTGGGGAACCTCGGCTGGAATATTCTGTGTGGGAATCTGAAGTTTATTAGTGAGTGCCTCTGGAGGCGAAGGCATCCATCCACATGCAGCCTGAGTGGACGGTGGGACATGCTCGGAATCCCATTTCTTGGGGGAAGCTGGAGCAAAATTGCTGGAGTGTAAGGCAGGCAGGGACTGTATAGTGAGTCAGCCAGGCAAACTGATGTGCTGTCCCCCCAAAAAGTGAAATGGCTTAGCAGGTAGAGGCACTTGCTGCACAAGTGTGACATGAGTTTGATCCCCAGAATCCACATAAAGGTAGGAGAGATCCTGATCTCCTCACCCATGGTTTAGTGGGTATCTCACACAGACACACACACACAACACACCACACACACACACACACACCACACACACAGACACACACACACACACACACACACACACACACACACAGTGCACGCTATAAGAAAAACTAAAAATAAGAAATGTGTCCTTTGACCTCAGAGTTCCATTTGTTCTCCTGAGTCATTGAGTTTCTCTGGACCTCTGACCTCCTGATTATATAATTAGAGTAATAAACCAGCATATATTTTTTATTCATGTTTCATGAATTATACAGTATGTAGCGTAAAGTCTCACAAGGATGTCAGTGAGAGAACATAAAAAAAGACAACACTGTGCAACAATACTGCCCTCCAGAAGAACCAGGATAATCTGAGAGTCTAGAAGAGCAGCTAGCTCCTAGTGCCATCATCCTCGCTAGCAGAGTGCCTCCTATCCAGGTGAGATCTGGGGAGCTTACTAAACTTGGAAAGATGACCCCAGGAGAGCCCTGTGTCAGCTCTAAAAAATGCAAGTAATTTTCCTTAATAATGAGCAAAGGCAGGAAGGGAGAAAATGAAGCTGGGTAAGAGCAAGAGAGAGGACTTCCATACATTCTTCCTGAAACAGCTTGGACTGCTACCACTGCTGGGAAGCAGTGACGGATTCTGGACAAGACTGTATCTGCAATATAGTATAAATTGCCAATCTTACAGTGTGGCATGGTGGGTGTGGTATGGGGGTGCAGGGTGGTTTGGGCTCTTTAGGAGGTCATTGTGAAATATAACATATCTGGGGGCTAGTAGCACAGTAGAAAAGAACAAAGGGTAAATCCGAGAGCAGCATGAATGAGGGTTCACTGACTGTGTCCCAGCACTCGGCAGGCCTCAGTTCCAGGTCAGCCTGATCTACAGAATGAGTTACAGGATAGCCAGGGCTACACAGAGAAACCCTGTCTCTGAAAAAAAAGAAACTGCCCACATCTGCCCCAGGCAGGAGAGACACACAGTACTCACTGCTGTGACTCAGGTATCCAGGCTGAAGAGTATCTCTATGAGGCTGTCCCCAGTGGCAGAGGGAAAGCCCTAGAGGGATCGCAGGGACAACTCCTTGCTACAGCCATAAGGAGTGTGCATTTTCCCTGCCTCATAAACTGGGTCTTGTACCTGGCCCCACCCAGGCTGTAGGGGTCAAAGGGTCCAGCCTCTGGTGAGCTAGTCTGAGACTGCCTGATATCCGACAGAGGGAATGAGAGATACCTTCAAAGTGTTCACTGAGAAGACTATCAAACTGGGACAAAGTAATTTAAGGTCAAAAGATGACACCTTTTCCAGCTCTAAATCATAATCATTTGTTTGATTTTTTAAAAGAATTTTATCCTGTGTATGGGTCTGTACACATGGGTGCAGTTGCCTGTGGAAGCAAGATCCCCCTGGAGATGGAATTAAGCTGGTGTGAGCCACCCAACAATGTGCTCGGAACCGAACTCAGATTCTCTGAGGAGCAGGCCAAGCTGGGCCAGATCTATACCCCATCCTTTTGTTTTTTGTTTGTTGGTTTGTGTTTGAAATAGGTTTGGCCATGTAGTTCAGGTTGGCCTCAAACTCACAGAAATCCACCTGCCTCTGATATGCGATGAGTGGGACCTTAGTGGATCCCATGTCGATCCACTAAGGATTGCCAAACACACCATCAAGCAGAACTTATGTGGGAAGTTTATTAGGGAAAGGGAAGGGAGTAGAAAGGAGACAGAGCTGCCTCCCTCTTCAGAGGAATGACAAAGAGAGTTGGAGTGGGCGGAGCTTATTGCAAAGGGACCTTTTGTGCCTGGCCTGCTAGAGTCAGGGTGCTGCTTGCCATGCATGCAGGGGTAGCTCACCAGGTCCCCAAGGTGTCCCTGGATGTTAACAGCCACTCCTTCTGACCCCCCTGGTCCTTTCTTATAATCACAGAGAGAAATTGTAAGTCAATTTGTTGGTTAGTGAGAGTTTATTTTATTCTTTACAAAATGCTTTCTTTGTTTCATTCTTCCCAAGTAAAATATTCTGATTTTAAAGAAGTCATAGGTTTAATAATATGTCTTTCTTAAATTTGCATTTCGATTACTGTGTCAACATGAGGTTGTTGTTGTTGTTTTAATTTAAGTTTGAATGAATATGTTAGTGGAGGCTTCCTGGAATAAAGAATCAGGCTGCTGAATTGTGAGTTCCAGAGAATCTCTGCTTGGCCTTCTGCTGGCTGACTGTTCAGCACGGCACTTTCAGCAGATCAAGGGGTGGGTGTGGGAGGGGCTGTAATTGGGCTGATTGGAGCCTATTGTGTGGCTCTGGAGCACACTCCTGTAGCCTTAGGGGATGGTGCTGAAATATGGCCTCTTTCCTCCATGTGAGAGAGCAGAGATGCTGGGTCCACATCTGTCCCTGCCATTGTTTCCAGCATACCCCCAGTTAAATTGTGGTCCTTACTGTACAACCAAAAACTGATTTATTGTGCTTTTATTTCTTAACAGTTGCGAGAAACAATCAAAGCTGGCAAAGGTGTGACTTCAGCTATTGACCTGTGTCGTTACCATGGAAACAAGGCACTGGAGGCCCTGGAGAGCTTCCCTCCCTCAGAGGCCAGATCGGCTTTAGAAAACATTGTGTTTGCTGTGACCAGATTTTCATGACACCAAATTAAAAAGACACTATTGTTCCTTAGCTGAAAAACCCAGAGAATGGGATGGACAGGAGAGCTTTTATGATGAGATAACCAATATGTTAATGATTTTAAAAACATACATATTTTTTTTTCTGTTCTTTTATCTCGTTGCTTAATGAATCTATCATTTTGGAACCATTACAAACAAAATGAGAAGGAAAAAAAGGTCACACAGTTTTCACTTGTCACACCAAAGCACACTTGAGGCTGCAGCAACAGAAATAATTAATGAGACTCACTCCCGTGACCTCAGCAAATGCACAGGAAATAAGTCCTTATTGATTGGACCAAGCCAGGGATGGCGCCAGGGCAATAGCTGTGGTTTTCCTTCTGAAGAGGACAGATCAAGCTGGAGCTGCAGGTGTCAAGAGAAACACTGGATGCCAGCCAGGGAGGATACATCAGAACCTGATGACCAGTCCATTGTAGTGGAGAATCGTTCTTCTATGAGTTATGCAAAAATAGGCTTGCTTGCTGTCTCAGAATCATGCCTCTGTGGGTGTAATGTGAGAGGCTTGTACATGGAGGTTTTTATCAGATTTGGGAGTGGGAAAATGTTAGGCAGTTGCCATACTTGAAGTTGAATATTAAAGTGTTACCAGGTGTTGATTCAATTGTATCAGAAATTGGCTGCCTTTCTTTCTTAAAGATCAAGTCTAGGACACATTTCAAGCCAAGCCTGGTGGTGCACACCTTTAATCCCAGCTCTTGGGAGGCAGAGGCAGGTGGAGTTCAGAGTTCAAAGCCATCTTAGTCTACAGCATGAATTCTAGGACAGCCAGGGCTACACAGAGAAATCTTGTCTCAAAAACAAACAAGGCACATTTCAAAGGCCAGTTTTTTATTTCAAATACAGTGCATTCGCTTATGATGCTTTGATTTGGGGACCACCTCTGGCTTTTACAGCTTTCAGAAATGAAATTATTGTGGTGGGACTTCATTGGTGGGAGTTCTATTTTAGCCTCAGAACGTCAACTTTTGGTCTTGAGCTACAGACAGAGTTACAGAAAGAGCATAAGCAATCACACAGGCTGCAATCGGACACTGTCTCTGTGTGGTTCACGGGAGATGGTTTCTGTGGTTTGCACAAATGCAATATGACCATACTGTTGACAAGGAGGCTAAGTTTACATAAATGATCTCGATTGAGACTCAGTCGCCATCCCCCTTGTGTGGTGTAATTACAGCCCTATCTGGAGACAGCAAACACAGTAGCAGACTGTATTACCCACTTCACTCAAACACTAGGGCAAGTTTTTTCAGTTGAATGCCTCCTCCCAAAAGCTTCATCCAGGCCTTGCATGCGGCATGCAGTGAGGAGAAAATGGAACCCTAGAGAGGTTAGGGTATGAGTGGGTTCCATGATAATTGAATGGGTTACACTACCATATTCTGAAGTCCTGAGATTGTCTGTAGAACATTCCATTCCTGTTTGGAATGGCTCTTCTCGGTGAACTTGGCTTAATTAGTAACTATGGTTACAATGCTGTAGCTCTGACTAGGTTCTAATCATTAACTTTCACAAGGAGGAGTCCGGATGCAACTGGCTGCGCAAGACAGAGCCTGCACTGTGCCTCAGTCTGGTTCACTGTATAGCCTTTTAAAAGTCAAACCCTCTCACCTCAATTTCCTCTTCTATAAAATGAGATGAAATGAGGTAAGTATGAAGTCCCTCCCAGGTTTGCTTCACTTTGTGAGTTTACCATGTCACACTGGAGTGGCCACACCTGGAATCCAGCACTTTGCGAGGCTGAAGCAACTGTCTAAGCTACAGAGTGAGTTCAAAGGCCAGCTTGGACTAAATGACCCTGTCTAAAAATAATAATAATAATATAATAATAATAAATTGAAAGTTTCCCATTTCTGACCTAGTAAACTGTTGTAGCAGATCCAGGGAGGAGGAAAGCGCAGCTGTGAGAGCCTTTGACAGAAGACAGGGAGCTAGAAGGTGAGCTTCTGACCCAGCTGCCTCATGTGGCATGCTAGATTTTTGTGTTTTGATGCCCACTTTTCTGCTTTCTTTGGGACCTTCCCCACCGGTTTTATCTTCCCAGCAGCATATGTGATCTCTAGTCTGTCCCCTCCTTTAAAGAAAAAGAAGAGGAAAAAAAAAGATTGAGTCTGGTCTATCACAGGCTGGCCTTGAACTCCCGGTATTCCTGGCTCCACCTCCATCTATGTGCACCACGATCCACTGGTGTCCCAGGATCCTCCTGTCTCCCCACCTACAGCACTGGAGTTACAGGCACATGCATGAACATAGCCAGCTATTCATGGGAGTGCTGGGTTATGTGCTGGAAGAGGGACTCAGCTTCTCATGCTTGGAACAACAGAATGCCCTTACCTGCTAAGCCATCTTCATGGCCCCACACCCTGCTCTTAAATCTTTGCTTTCTTCTTCACTGGCTATATAGTGAAGGTATATACCCTATGCCTGAAATCCTTCTCCTTGCTCTGTTTGTCTCCCTCCCTTTTCTCTCTCCCAGCTTTAGGAAAAGCCTTGAAGGGTGTGGTGTAACACTCCTTTAATCTCAGCACTCCAGGGGCAGAGGCAGGTGGATCTCTAACTAGGCCAGCCTGGTCTACACAGTTCCAGGCCAGTCAACTACCTCCAAAAGACAAGAAACCCCCCCCAAAAAAAAAAAAAACTTACAGTTAACTCTCACAACAGGTTGTTGGTGACTGAGTTCACACCATCCACACCAGTGCCAGCCTTTTTGGAACATTAATGAAACAAACATGGGTCCCTCTGTGCCTTGAGATGGCTTCAGGATTGCAGACCCTTACAGCAGGTCCCTAATGACTGGCCTCTTAGCCCTTGTGACACACCCCTACCTCTTCTCTTGATGTCCTTCCTCTTTCTTACTTTAACCCAAGAAACATTCTTTTCTAAATACTTTGATTGTATTTTTCCAGAAACTTCAAAGCAACTTTCTGCCTCACTTAATCTTTCTTTTGTGGTGCTAGGAGTCAAATACAGAGCTATGCTCACACTAAACAAGTGTTCTGCCAGCAAGTTACAGAAGCCCTGGGCCTGAAATCGTTTATGTTGTACTTTTTGTTTGGGTTTGGTTTCCCTTATTGAGTCAGGGTCTTCTACAGACCAGGCTAGCTTTAAATTTTCTGAGTGGTTAAGGATGACCTTGAGCTCCACCTCCAGTGTACTGGGACTGCAGGTTTGTACCCCACAAAGGGCAGTACTGGGGACCAAACCTAGGACTTTGTGCAACTTACAAGAGTACTCTACCAGCTGAGTATATCCTTCTTTTAAATTAAAAAGTCTCCTTTTGGGCTGGAGAGATGGCTCAGAGGTGAAGAGCACTGGCTGCTCTTCCCAGCAACCACATAGTGGCTCACAACCATCTCTTATGAGATCTAGTGCCCTCTTCTGGTCTGCAGATATACAAGAAGCAGAATGTTGTATACATAATAAAATCTTTTTTAAAAGAAGATTTTATTGTCTCCTTTTTAAGTCTTCAATTTAGGAATAGAGAGATGGCTCGGGGGTTAAGAGCGCTTGCTGGATTCAACCCAGCATCCACATGGCAGTTCACTATGGTCTGTAACCCCAGTTCCAAGGGCACCAGTGCCCTCTTTTTTTTTTTTTGGCTTTGGAGCCTGTCCTGGAACTAGCTCTTGTAGACCAGGCTGCTCTCGAACTCACAGAGATCCACCTGCCTCTGCCTCCTGAGTGATGGAATTAAAGTCATGTGCCACCAAAGCCTGGCTACCAGTGCCCTCTTCTAATCTCTGTGGGCACAAACATATTTGCAGCCAAAATACTCATACAGGCAAAACAAAATAAAATATTCCTCAATTTAAAAACACTGTTTTTGAGGCCAGGTGTTGGTAACATACACTTTTAATCCCAGCACTGGGGAGGCAGAGGCAGGCAGATCTCTGTGAGTTTGAGGCCAGCCAGGACCGTTACACAGAGAAACCCTGTCTGGGGGACAATCACAACCATCACCCTACACTAAACAGCTGCCACTTCATTTCCTCCAGACTATCCTTTCCTTTATTCAGTTCTTAGGAGGGTTATAGACAATGTCATCGTGTCCGGCTTCCTCCAGTTTCTCTGTCATGAGTATGTTTCTTTGTGCCGTTGTGATGATAGCATGGATTCAACTCTGGTCCTGCTGTTTCTATATACAGTTTTCCACAATGCAGTCATTGTGGTTGTTATTAACGAGTGGTTTAAATGCTAAATGAAGCATCTAAACTTCTACTCCTCCTTGGTTTCCCTGGTTTAGATAGTATGTTAAAATGGGTTGACTTATAAACCAGCCTCCAAACCTAGTGCTAAGAACATCTCCTTGGAAAGATAGTACTCTGCAGGTTCTCCACCCCAGCAGGTCCAACTAGAAAGCCCAGGCATGGTTAAACCCCCATAACCCTGGCACTTGGTAGGCTTGACAGGAAGGGTCCTGGGTTCAAGGCCAACCTGAGCTGCAGAGTGAGTTCCAGGCTTTCCTGGAGCATATGGCAAGAGTTTCTCTTAAAACACAAACATGAAGGGCTGGAGAGACGTCCCAGTGACTAAGAGCACTTGCTGTTCTTACAGAGGACCCAGGTTTGGTTTGAAGCACCCAGCTGACAGCATCCCTAACTCCAGAAGCTCCAACACTTAACCTCTGAGATCGCCAAGTGGTATCCATGTACATGCAGGCAAAACATTCACACACATAAAGTAATAAAATTTGGAAACAACAACAGAGACATGGATGGGGGAAGACGATTGAGTAAGCAAAGCACTTGCTGAGCAGATATGAAGATCTAAGTTCGGATTCCTGGTACCCAGGTAAAGCACTTGTAATCCCTGTACCGGGAACTGGTCAGCTAATTTAGAGGAGTTAGTGAATTCCAGGTTCCGTATCAAAAAATATGGTGGAGAGCAATTGAGGAAGACACTGAAAGTCAACCTCTGGGCTCCACCCACATGCAACACAGGACACAAACATACAACACACACTACAAAAAGCTGAGTGTGGTGACTCACTTGCCATCACTGCATTTCATGATGAGATGCCCTTCGGTCAAGACCAACCTGGGTTATGGAGTAGGAGGCCCTGTGTCTCAACAAAACAAAAGACTGTGGGACAAACTGCTTTAAAATCCTTTCATGCAGAAGCTGATGGTGGTGCATATCCCTGTGTTCTCAGCCTGCGAAGTGAGGGCCAGCCTCTGCTACAGAAGAGGCTGGGTCCACACAGCCTTACTGGCACCTGTATGGTAAGCTGGCATATGAGACACCTCTGCCCTGCATCTGAGACCCTGCTATCAATCAGCCACAGCTTCTCATGATCAGCAACATGGAGACATCCTTGTGTGGCATGAGAAACCACCTTCACTTCTTCGAAAGCTACAAAGGGAACTCTTAGGGTGAACTCAAAGGACACAAACAAAATGGTCTTTGACCTAAACTGTTTTACGCTGCAATTTTATGAGCTTATTCTCTTAATCCTTTTGTTTGTTTTTTGAGACAGTTTCTCTGTGTAACAGTCCTGGCAGTCCTAGAACTCACTCTGTAGACCAGGCTGGCCTGAAACCCACAGAGATCTGCCTGTCTCTGCCTCCCGAGTGTTGGGATTAAAGGCGTGCGCCGCCACCACCCACGAACGTGGACATCTTAACAGTGGCTGCACCGCTAAAGAGAGCATTTCTCCTTTCCCACAGCTAGCCATTAACTCCTATTGATCCTCAACGAGGGATAGGAGCTTACCAACCTGTTCGTGCAGGACACTGAAGGGTCCAGTGCCGGTGCACATCGCGCAGGTGATCCCGGCTGCTGTGACGGGAGTGACAGTCTTGCCTGGAGGACAGCATTCCTCGGCACTCCACCCTTCCTGGGTCCTTCATTCTTTCCACCCTGTCTGCAGGAGTCCCTGCTGTTTGTTGCTGGGCTGTTACAGTGCTTGCTTAACAGGCTTGAGGCCTGGGTTCAGGTTCCCTCAGTACTACATAAACCAGGTGCAGAGTCATATGCCTCTAAGGTCTGGAGGTAGAAGCAGCAAGAGCGGAAGTTCAGGGTCATCTTCAGGTACACAGAAAGTCCAAAGCCAGTTTCAAATACATAGAGACCCTGACTCTCAAAACAAACCAAAAGCAGTATAAAGCTTTTGTGTTGCTATAGCAAAATGCCTAACATTGGGGTCTTTATGAAGAAGCTGTCTTGGCTCAGGATTCTGGTAGCCAGAAGTTCCAAACACCATGGCCCTGACATCTGGCAAACGGCCCTAACGTCATGGAGCAGTCTGTGTGTGGAGGAGATCACATGGTCAGAGACGAGAGAGTGACCTGAGGAAGCTGACTCCACAACACCTCACCAGAAATGAGCAATGATCATCCCGGGAGCTCTGACTTACTTCAGTGACCTAACCCAATGAGAATGTACCAATGACTTCCAGGGGTGGCACCCCAGGGCATACTCACTTCCACTAGTCCCACCCCTTAAAGGGCCACTCACCTCTCGTGGCCATCCAGTTTCTAGAACATGGACTTCAGGGGATAAACTATATCCAAGTTATAGGGAACACTCTCAAAGGGCTAAACTGGACTTTCTGCACGCTTCCTGCCTGGGTTGACTGCGCTTCTGCTGTTCTTGCTGTTGCTCGCCTTCAGGGCGTTTTAATGGTGACTCTTGCCCACACGCCCACTTACATAGCAACTTAGATTGCGTGTGTAGAGCATGGCTACTTGCTTGTGAGTTTCCAAGGCTGCTTCTTTCTGCTGTGCTTCCCTCCCTTCCCCTCCCTCCCCCAGCAGGATTCCTCTCATGGAATTTTTTACATACCATAGTACACACTTGGAGGTCAAAGGGCAACTTGTACGATTCAGTTCTCTCCTTTCATCATGTGGGCTCCAGAGATCAAACTCAGCCATCCGGCTTGGTGGCAAGTGTCTTTCTCCATCTTGTCATTGCTGATGAGACATGAGAGGATCTCATGTCGTCCAGGCTGGCCTCCAACTCAATATGTAATAGAAAATAAAAGTAATCCTCCTGCCTTCCCTTCCCAAGAGTTGAGGTTACAGACATGTGACATCACATTTGAATTTTTTTTGCATTCTTCTTTCAAAATACCTTTGTTGAAATATAATTTATATAATAAAATGTTTCTATTTATAATATGTAATATAAATTCCATATATTTTATTTATAATTCAATGACTAAATAATAATAATATCTCCAGACATGGTGGTTCTTGCCTTTAATCCCAGCACTAGGGAGGCAGAAGCAGGGCTATATATATAACCCTTTCCCAAACAACAAAAACAAAACTATCTACCTATAAGTGTGTGCATATGAGTGTATTTGTGTGTGGGTGTTGGTTTGTTGTGGTTTTGAGATAGTCTACCAATATATCCCAGGGTGCCCTCAAATTCAGCAGCCAAGGGTGACCTGTAATGTGTGTAGATACTGCTTCAGAGGCCAGAAGAAGGTAGAACTAAGGTCACAAGTGGTTGTGAACAAACCAAAAAGGAAAGCAAGAAGGAAGGGAGGGAAGGAAGGAAGGAAGGAAGGAAGGAAGGAAGGAAGGAAGGAAGGAATCAGTCAAGGTGTGTAGAGCTTTAATCCCAGCACTCTACCAGCAGAAGAAAGCAAATCTCTGAGTTCCAGGCCAGCTGGATCTACATATTGAGTTCCAGGCCAGCCAAAGGCTACATAGTCAGACCTTGTCTCAAAAAACAAACAAATAAACAATAAAAACAAACAAATGAACAACAGAAACAAAACAAAAAAGAGAAGTGGGCCACCTGATGTGAATTCAAACTCAGGTCCTCTGGAAAAGCAGTCTATGTTCTTAATCAGTGAGCTCTCTCTCCAGTGCCTAAAATGACCTTGAACTCCTAACCCTCCTGCCTCTACTTCCCTGTGCTAAGACTACAGGCCTTCGTTACCAAGCCCAGCCTGGCCCCCAATTCAGTGTGCATTTGTGTATGCTGTGCTGGGGAGTAAGCCCGGGTCCTCATGCATGCCCTTCCATTGAGTTCTGCCAAGCCCTTTTCAGTTCTGTCAAGTCTCTTTTCAGACCAATACTTTGGAACCAACCCCTAAATCCTAAGGAGCCCGCTTTAGTACTGTTCTTTGGAAAACTATGGAATCTTTTTTTAAGAAATGGAGCTTCTGTTGGGCCTGATGGTGTAGACCTGTAATCCCAGCTGCTTCAGAGACCCAGTCAGAAGGTGGGAAATGCAAGTCAGCCTGGGAAATTCAGCAAAACCCTGTCTCCAAAAATCAGCTGTAGTCCCAGGACTTGAGAGGCAGAGGCAAGAGGATCAGGCATTTAAGGGTATTCTAGTCTACATAAGAAGTTAGAGGATAGCCGGTGCTATGTGAGTTCCTGCCTAAATATACACCAAATAAATAAACAAATAAATAAATAAATAAATAAATAAATTACAACAATAACAAAAAACATCTAGTTTAGAAACCTGTAATCCCATTACTGGAAAGGTTGATGCACACAAGTTCTAGGCCAGCCTGATCTGCAGAGAAAATTCGAGACCCAGGCCAGTCAGGGCTAAGTAATGAAACTTTGTCTGGAAAACAGAAAACCAGAAGCCAACTGTCAGGGAATACAGTTCAGACATAGGTGTTTACCCAGCCCACAGAGAGTCTCGGGTCTATTTCACGGTATTGGGCAAACAAAGGAAAGGAAAAAAGGTGGGGAAGGCATCTAGAGTTGGCTTATAACACTTATGATCCCAGCACTTAGGAGGCTGAGGCAAGAAGACTGCCTAGGCTACAGAGTACCTAGTGAGCCTGTCTCAAATAAAGAAAGGGCTGGAGAGACAGCTCAGCAGTTAATTCCAGCACCCACATAGCAGCTCACAACTATCTGCCACTCCAGTTCCAGGGGACCCCCCCACTTCGGGGCTCTGTCTGTACCAGGCACCCAAGTGGTGCACAGACATACCTGAAGGCAAAATACCCATACACATAAAATAAAATGCAAAATAAATAAATAGACAAATACTGGCCTTTATGCTTTATACTCATGTGGGCGTGAGGTGAAGAAATAGACAAGGGCTAGGACAGTCACATGTATCCCTTCCTTTTCTTTCTTATGACATCTAGCATTTACATCTTCCTGTGTCCTGCCCAACAGCTTCTGATGCTCCAAGGCTGGCATGAGATCACTTTCATTTGATTCTCATGGTTGCTAAGTTGTCACCATGGCATTAAGACACTCGGGCAAATAGAGATGCCCAGAGACAAATGTGGTGGAAGAAAAATGTGTCCCTGATCTCTTTGCCTCTCTGTCATTTGGATCAGGAGGTCAGCATTAAACCTGTGTCATTCTTGCTGCTCAGCCATGACAACCCAACACAACATTCTCAAAAACCATGTCATTGCATCCCATACAAATGTGATGTCCCCAAATCTGATCCTTATCATTTACATAGTTCATCTGGGTACCCACACTTTACCATAATAGAAACAGCCTGCACAACAATATAAAACACTGGCAAAAATATGACTTTAGTAACTATAATTTTATGCCCTACAGTTAAAATGAAATATCTTAGTTTTGTTCCACTACAATAATTACAAGTTTTTCAAACAATTTTTAAGCTTTCAAATCAAAATAGAATTCAGCACTCCACTGCATAATTTGTGGTAGTGGGGGGACTGTGCTCTAGCTCTCCCTGAGAAATAAAATCTTATTAAAATAAAAAAAAATAGATTTTAGCAAAATGACCCAATATGAGCTTTACCTCATTCTCCCCTCTTTCTTTTTGATTATTCCTCTCCATCACTAACTTCTTTCTTTACAGGGTAGCACTATGTAGCCCAGGCTAGCCTTAAGCTCCTGGCATTCTTCCCAGTTTAGCCTGCGGGGATTACAGGCATGGACCACCATGTATCACTATAAGTAGCACCTTTGATCTTTATCTTAGTCCTGCGACTGTTTTTAACTTAT